TACTGCATTATATTTAGGAAAAGACCATCTTCTAAAGTGTGGAAAATACTCCAGAAACTACTGTTGCAAGTCAACTGGACCGTCACTGAGCAGTGAGTACTACAGATAAAAAGAAACAGCTAGTGATCATCATTCATCTCATAAAGAGGCAATGAGTTCAAGCTCTGCTCATTTATGTAGGCTAGTTGCTGTCAGAAAGCGTTTTATGGAGATCCAATAAAGTAGATTATTGCCACTGGCAGTGCGTGACATCCTACAGAACTTGATTGCTTTTATTTTCAACCTATGAGTAATATCAAAAGTAAGGTAACAGAAATTTAGCAACTTAAAAAAAAAAAAAGATTTTTACACCAGCAAGGTCCACTTCCAAAGCCATAAACAAAAATAGAGAATTGCGCAAAAGCGCATGGTAGATTTTACGCACTGCAGGCGAAGGAGAATAAAACCATCCATTTAGGGGGGTGGGGGGATGGGGGGGGGGGGGGGGGGAATCCGTAAACAATAAGACTCGTATTGTATTAGCGTGTTAAGTAGCCTATAAGTTGCATTTAAATGATGCTTTAAGAACGCCGACAAGCCATGGTATTTCCATAAAACACCTTACGCACATCAAAAGTTTGGGCGAGAAGCACCCATTACTCATGCATGCATTGAGATAAAAAGTCTTCATTGGCCTCACCTTCACTCAAAAGCTTCAATCCAAAGCGTCAATCCGAACAGTGCGATGAGATCTCATGTTGCACACCGATATTTGACGGCTTTCAATCGGGACATCTTGGAGACGCGCAGGTGCGGAGCTGAACTCAGAAGCGACCACTCCTGTCCTCGGCTCCGGGAGAATGGTGGTCTAATCGGCACAAATGGCACTTCGGCGAGTCAAACAACTCAGCAAACAAATTCGACGGCGGGGAAACACTTTTCCGGCTTAGTGTTAGGTTTTGGTGAAGCCTTATTTTTTGAGGTGAATGTGACAGTTGAGATGCCTTGGGAAGGTGGGATTATATTCAACATGTGATGTGGCGGATGGTCGTAGCTGCAACTTGAAAAGGATGGATCATTACACATATTTAAAGCAAATCATTACAAAAGTGATAAAACTATTATCACTATTGTGATACTATACTAAATCATATCTAAAAAGTACTAATATATATATATATATGATTTAGTAGTATCACAATAGTGATAATATATACACACACACACACACACACACATTAGAATAGAAATACATTCTTGAGGTTTTTAGACCATTGCTAATGTCAAAAGTCATGTCTAGAGACTTTTTTGCACATAACTGCATATTTGGAAATGAAAGGTTGTATGTCTTTTAAAATAGTTTTCCTCAAACTAAATGAATGCCAAAAAAATGAATTACTTGATTAAAATGTTTTATTGCATGCATGAAATTAGCAGATTTGTCTCTGACTCAAACCTGCACATCTAAATTAGTGATGGAGAAAGAAGATACACTTTCTGTCACGGACCATTTAACCTAAAAGTGGCCAGTCATTAGCTCAGACAGGAAGGTCAAGTAGCTGATATGAAAACCTAAATGCTGCTTGTCTACATAAAAGAAAATTGAAAGTGACTGCAATACTGAATAGAGTAATTCATGTAAAAAAAATACTAAACAGCCTTCAGCTTATCATCATGCAAGTCAACAGCAAACAAGCAAAAAATCCTATGAACACACTGGTGAAAATAAGGCCATCTATACAAGCAGATAATGTATATCACCAATTGGTGTGCGCCTCCTAAACACATGCTTTAAAAATCAATTGATTTTCTTCCTTCACAGACAGTGCACATCCGCTGTGTGTGTTTACCATTTGATATTCCGCACAGCCATGCATCTTAAAATCTATCATAAAGTTCAATAGCTCACTGGTGCTGCAATTGACTTGGACAGGCAATCACGTGACTGCATCAGCCAATAGGAGATGACGCCTGTGTTTCCTTCAGTGCTGTCATACCTTTCAGTTATTTGAGAATTGATGACTGCCTCTCATGTGGCTCATCACTGTCTCTCACATCTGAGGAGAGTATTGAGTTTCATCTGTTCCGTCCAGCGCATTTCTGTCACATGATAAGAAATATGAAGAGAGATCACTATGAAGTGAGATGTTTCCACCAATGGTTCAACCCTTAAATAGACAATAACATGTTAAAATTTAGACTAATTCCTCTTCTGATTCTCCAATAAGATGGTTACACTTTATGATTTATTGTGACCTATAAAAGACTTTACAGTGAAAGTTGGATAAAAGTCAAACAAGTTTTGATCTTTGCTCATCAAAATACTATATTAAGCATTTGTTAAACCTTTTTGTTCAACAAAAGAAAGTAAGACTGGTTTGTAACAACACAAGGATGAGCAAAATTTTGGGGTGAAAAATAACTTTTAGGGGGAAAATTTATGTGGCATGTAATCAAAGAAAATGTGTCACATAACAGTGATTTTCTAAGACAAAGCAATAAATGTGACAAAGCCTTATTAACATGTTTTAAGCCTGGCACTTTTCAACACATTTAAAACCATAATCATGAATTTTTATATTTAAGCTCTAGCCTCTTCTTAAGTTTACTGACATGGAAAGGTAATATTCAGCAGCAGATGATGTTCCTCCAAAACTGATCTCGTCAAACACACAAAACCTCCAAATCTACAGTCAACACAATAATCCCTCAAAATTAAAATTTGTTTTTAGCTGCTGTTCATTAAATCTACTGCCTTGAGGGCAGATATCACACCATGAGAGACCTTGTCACCATTGTTAATGAAAGCAAACTGGCCTGCTAATGATAATGATGACAAATTGAAGATCCGCCTAGTGCCTTGGGATCTGGTTTTCTAAATTAGGATTTGTCAATAACATGCTTCCAATTTGTCTTCTCGCGAATCAAAAATATTGGTTACTGTAACTGGCAGGCGGCAAATGATTTCCCCTGGTTTATTTACAGTAACATCATTAGCATACCAGGGGGATGTATTGGATAAAATGATATGCCTTTGTGGATGAAACTCATTGAGGCTGTCTAGGAGACAGAGACAGCTCTGATTTAATTTGCTCATACTGTCTAAACAGATATTAATAGCAGGATTCAATTAGATGCATTTAATTCTTAAATATGGTAAGATATTTTTATCTATTGGTATTAAATGGAATACATCAAATCAAGCGTGGCTCTGAAAGCATGTTAATGACAGATTGTTCCAATTAAACGTGACATAACATCACATAAATACAAAGAAAATGAATTTACTTTGCAACAAATCACTCTCTGCGATGTTGAGGATTAGTAACTTCTAGCATCCAAAATGCATTCAATGGTAATCCGAATCACAGCTAAAACCTGATGATGATTGCGTCATAGCAGATCATTGAGCTTAAGCTAATACACACAGCAAATGAGAAATTAGTTCCGAATGGATTCCACAGCCACAAATGTCCCTCAGATCATCACTTTGAATGGCCTGTACACATTTCACTAAATACCGCTGCATCCGAAATCGCATTCAAATTAAGTACCATAAGAGAGTATGCGATTTCAGACATGGCCAATGTTTCTATGTCATTAGTATTCTTTGTGCCAAAGCCACTGTAAAAATAAAGTAATGCCAAATTTAGTACCCATTGGTCATGAAATGTGTTTAATGGGTAACTTTAAAGGGATAGTTCACCCCAAAATGAAAATTCTGTCAGTAATTACTCACCCTCATGTTGTTCCAACCCCGTAAGACTTTCGTTCATCTTCGGAACACAAATTAAGATATTTTTTATTAAATCTGAGAGCTGGATCACTCCTCCATAGGCTTCTAAGGGATTGAAATTTGCCAGCCCAGAAACGTTATTAAAGACATCGTTAAAATAGTCCGAGTGACTACAGTGGCTCAATCTTAAGTTTATCAAGCGACGAGCAAAAAACAAACAAAAATAACGACTTTATTCAAATATTTATTTCCTTCTCTGTGGGCCTCGAGTTAGTTCACGTAGTGTAACTGTGCAGCGCTTCTGTGTTGTACGTCACACGTATTGGCCAACGCTGGTCATGCGTGTGATGCGTGTGACGTACAACACAGAAGCGCTGCAGTTACACTACGTGAACTAACTCGAGGCCCAAAGAGAAGGAAATGAATAATTGAATAAAGTCGTTATTTTTTTTTATCGCACAAAAAGTATTCTCGTCGCTTGATAAACTTATGGTTGAGCCACTGTAGTCACTCACTTGGACTATTTTAACGATGTCTTTAATAACTTTTCTGGGCCGGCAAATTTCAATCCCTTAGAAGCCTCTGGAAGAGTGATCCAGCTCTCAGATTTAATCAAAAATATCTTAATTCGTGTTCCGAAGATGAACGAAAGTCTTATGGGGTTGGAACAACATGAGGGTGAGTAATTACTGACAGAATTTTCATTTTGGGGTGAACTAACCCTTTAATATCAATTGGCTAAAGTCTGTTCCAAAAGGGATTATTTTGCTAAATGCAAATAATAAATTCAGGTAATCATATAATGCATTGTTAAACATGCAAATCACTTCACATATAGGTTCATCACCCTTTAAAAGGTAATATAAAATGCCTACAATATCATGTTTTTAATGTCAAAGGATGTGCATCCAATTAAACTTTAGAGAGGTCACCTGATAATAGTTTTTTTTTAAAGAAACTGCCGTTCTGTCAGTTACATTTTAAACTATTATTCAATATCTGGCAGAGTGGCTGATAAATCACTTTTCCCTTGTCGTTTATTCATTTCCAAGTGTCAATTCTCCTATTCAGCTTATGTCGTGGTATTGAATTTACCAATAAAAATATTTTTGCACAAAAAGGCAAAAAAGGGTCACAAGCATATCCAAAACCAATGATCTAACCCAAACTCAATGACTTGCAAATATTTTCCTAAACTTTATCTTGAAACTGAATGGTTAGATTATAGCCAGTTGTTCCTGAGGTCCTCCACTACTGGCCAAACAAAAGTGGAATGATTGTTCCATTTTTCTTTTTTTTACACAATAAGCAACATTACAGAGCTCAGGCAAGCATTGTTTATTTTGTATTACTTTGCACACGTGCTGTCCAAAGACAGGAGTTTAAACCTGATCCCCCCTCCAGGACACTTAACATACAACTTCAAGGAATAATTCATAGTGAAAAGTATGTCATGTGTGAAACCAAGAGGGGCTGAAACAAAAACAAACAAACCAAAAACATCCAAAAGGAATGCTGATGGAATTTATCATTATTTATTACCATAATTTGAAGCTAATCACAAATTATTTTAATGAGACACTGCCAGACCAACAGAAGATCCTACTGGATAAACTTAAATTCTAGGGGCGAAAATAGGAATTTCAGTGAATCCAGGATTCTTTATGACTCTTTTTTATTTTTTATGTTTATTTGATTAAAAATTGAATTTGAATTCAAAATTACCATAAAAACCATTAGCATTCCTTAATTTTTTTGACTAGGTAAATAACTACAAACAGGCTATATAATGGCTTAAGTTCTATTTAACTTCTAAATACTGATCAGGAATAGTAAAGGTTTTGGAGTGTTTTTTCTGTTCACCTATCACATAGTCCACATGGATGCATATGTGTCTAGAATTCTCCTCGGAGGGATACAAACTGATCTCCCCCTCAACTTTAGTGTCCTGCATCACATCCACAGCATCATCCAGATACAGCACAGCCTGCTTCCAGTGCGTCTCTGGTTTGAATGGAGATGTGGAGAGCACCAGGGCCTTCTCCTCAGCGGGGAAAGTCACGGTGAACCACACGCACAAGGCGTGGATGGAGGACGAGCCGAAGCACTGGCAGCGAAACACTCCCCTCACATCTCTGAGCTGCTCGAGTGTGACTGTGTTCAAATCCAGCTCGGCAAACTTGCAGGGGTGGGAGAGCACATCCTCCACCGTCACCGGATTCACAGTGATGTCTTTGTTCATGATGCACTTCCTGGCAAAGTCGGTCATGCAGGACATGTCCACGCCGTACTGTCCTTTAACGGTGCTCCAAAAATTCAATCTGCCCTCCACCACCAGATCGTTTATGGGAGCGATGTAAAGATCCGCCCGGGAGGGTAATATGAGGCCACCGGGTTTGAGCCACTTATCCCGGGCAAAAATCACAGAGTTCAGCATGGATTCGTGGAGGAGCGCGTAGCCCATCCACTCGCTGACAATCACATCCACCTGTTCGGTTAGTTCGATCGTCTCTAGTGTAGCTTTAATGATTTCTATTCTGTCCTCCATCTGATTCAGTTTTACGATTCTCACAGCCTGATCGGCAATCGAGCTCGCTTCGACTGCATAAACCTTCCTGGCACCCGCTTGTGCACAGAATAAGCTCAAGACGCCGGTACCGGCTCCCACATCAAGCACCACTTTCCCCTCTATTGACTTACTGTTTTTAAAAATGCCCATTCTGTACGTGTTCGTGCGCACAGTGTCTGCAATCATCTCTTCGTGAATGGTGACATCGGAGTAGCTGTCAAAGTACATGTAATCCTCTGTACTCCGGTCTAGTTTTCTTTTCTTAGTACCTAGCTGTGACATTTTCCCCAAGTTTGCCATGCGTATTTAATTTTCTCCCAAGTAGCTTCCGTTTCTGAAACGCAGCTCGAAAGGCATCATGGGACATGCAGTTTTTAAACATTACCTTGTTCATCGGAAAGAACGTCAATTGGTTTAGAAATTAACTACACTTCCCATGAGTAGACAGATATTCTTAATAAAAACGCATTTTTTCCCCATTAAAAATAAATGTAGTGAATGATATTATAACATTTTCCTATATACATTTTTTGGGAGCTTTCTCTGCTATAATTTAAAATAGTTATAATGTGACACTTAAATGTGTCGCGGTTAAATGTGACACCTCCCTTCAAAACAACCACATAGAAAGAGACAATCCCTTAATTCATACATAAACTAAATAATGATGTTTGTTAGGTGTTGAGTTAGTCTGTTAAATAGACTATAATTATTGTTATCTATAAACAATATTGAGAGAGAGAGAGAGAGAGAGAGAGAGAGAGAGAGAGAGAGAGAGAGAGAGAGAGAGAGAGAGAGAGGGGGAGGGGGGACATTGTATAGGCGAGACAAAGTACGTCAAGTATAATCTATCAGAAATTAATGATATGCAAGATGAATGTACTGCACTTGTTTGTCACAACATATCCATGGGGTTATTTAAGTTAATACTGCATTCTGGCCCACACAAATAAGTGGATTAAGCATGATAAATTCTCATATTTTTTTACAGTGGGTGTTAGCATTGCTGTCTGCCTGTTTGGCAGAAGTTCCGGGACAGCTGTTTAAACTGACTGTGCCCAGCTGTAGCCGTACCAACATAACACCAGGGCTCCGTCTGAGCCAAACTGCATTTTCCACCATGACGGATAGCATGATCTGCTTTTAACCTTAATAAAATAGCTCTGCCTCACCCTGGGCCGTCACTCTCTCCGTGCACGCTAAAGGCTACACACTGACAGCAGGCTATTCCTCTTAAATACAGTGTGTTTTATGATTTCTTCTGCTTTATCTATAGTGATAAATGTTCACGGTTGGATTATAAGATCTGCCCTTTTTTTTCCAGCATTGTCCTCAGGTTGAACTCATGGAGTAGGAAGTCATAGGCCATGGATGCACATTCGTTATCTGTAATAAATGACACCTACACAGATTTCTTTTAACAGAAAATTAAAATATCACAGAAGGACAATGCATAAACATGCAAGGCTGGCAACTTTTCAGTTTAGCTTGGAGTGAAAATTATGGAGTAGAGTGTCACTAAACTTAATTTCATTAGGTTTAGTGACCACACAATGTTTACATGGTACAATGACTACTGTACAGCCTCCGTTTTTGAGTGCAACACCCACATATGAAAATCCAATCAATAACCGATACATAGAACCAAGTCCCCACTCTACATTTTTTTCTTTTTTGATAGAAAAAATGTGCATAACAATACAGAGGAAAAAAACTGTCACTTCGGATTCATTGCGACTTTAAATCAAAATTGACCCTATTTACTTTCTTAATGCACGTTACTGGTCTTATTGTGAACAATGCATCTATGCAAAAGGTCATACAGGCTATTAGGTAGTTAACCACTAGTCAAATAGCTATGTAGGTATTGTTTCAGCAAACTAGCATTTAGTCTGGCTCCATTCACGTAATGGTTAATTTCCCCGTCCAATCATTTCTTGCCAACTTTGAATATTTATTTTACTTGTAAATATGTCACATAGAAGTAAAACATTATAGATACCTTCAAAGGGTATTGGAAAAATTTTCTCATCCTTTTAAAAAGATGATAAAGGTATTTCCTTTAGCTATTTCGCATTGGACCCCCCGCCCCCCACCTCCCCACCTCCCCACCTCCCCACCTCCCCACCTGCTGTCTGTGAGCCTATCTAACCTGCTGCGACTCACTTTTAGGTGTCAACCCACCCGTTGAGGAAAAGTGTATTAAAATGTGCTGTTTTGCAAATTTCTTTCCACTGTTTCTCTCTTTCCATATCTCCCTTGGGTAGTTTTGAGTCCTTGCAATGATAACACAGAACTTCCACATCCCGTGAATGTTTTTACACATTCTGAAATGATTGAGGGAAAAAACTGTTTGCACAGACATTGGCACCTGATCTCGTTTTAATTAAAATTGCACATCACTGTTTGCCCATCTAAAGCACAGACTCTGAGCTGATTGGAAGGGGATGGACTGGCAATGAAGGAAGAGACTTTGCTCAGTGGCCCTGAAACATGTCTGGAAAACCTGAGATAATTTCAGAGCAGAAAGATGGTGGCTTCTGCAAAGGGAAGAGACTGGTTGTTCAAGCATGAGTGTAACAGCGGGAAACCAAATCACTTTGGACAATGAAGGATGTCCTGAAAACATTTGATAACACAGTTCAAACAGATTTTTCCTGGGTGGCTCATGTTGTTTCCAATCCGCCTGCTGAATCTTGTTTGGTTGGATCAGTTAAGGGTGAGGACATGTGATAAGTCTGCTGTAAGGATGAAACTAGAAAAGGAAGTTGCAATCACTGCAGCGTATTGGTGGTTTGATTCAGTTGTAGCAGTGCCAGCCTTCCGGCAAGAATTTGATTCCTATCTGAAACAGCAAGCACATTCAAATCTTTGGAAGCAACCTGTCAAACAGTCAGTCAAAATGTTTATTTCAGTTAAATAAAACAATGTTTTCTGATTTTTTTTGGCCTCTTTTGAGAAGATGTGCTATTGTACATATTGTACAAACGCTGTTATGATGATAGCAGAAGAACCCAAGCGCAGACAGTATGCAAACACACAACGTTTATTATAACAGAAAACAGAGAAAACAAAACCCACGAGGGGGCAAAACAGTACAAGATAAAGTAAATGACTGACCACACTAGACTAAGACTTTGACATTAAACTAAACAGGAACAAGACAGGCTTTTACAAGATCGCAACTTTTAGACAAAACAAGATACTCACTGGGTATAGACATGGCACGTAAGGCAATGAACCGGCACAGGACAGCAAACACAAGGAGCTTAAAAAGGGAGACACTAATGACAAAGACAGGTGAAGCTGACTAGACAAGGACAGGTGAAACTGACTAGACAATGATGACGAGACGAGGATAACGAGACGAGGATAACAAGGGGGCGGGGTAACGTAACGAGACAACACAAGCACATGGCTCAAAACACAAGACCATGTGCTTGCACACAAAACATGATTCTGTCATGATCCTGCCTCAAGACTAGAAAATCAAGGACACGAGGGCAGAATCATGACAAACGCAGTATTTTTTAACAACCTATAGGCTCATTAGGAAAAACAGGCCTCTACTTACATATTTGCAAAAAATTCATTTAGGTCTACAATTCCCTGCAGTTTCCAGCTAAACATTATATAAAACATTGCCAGATCCACGTTGATCTGTTTGAAATAAAACTGAATGCGCTTTTAGCGCCACTCACTGGACATTTTACTTTGAAAGTGTCTCGAAACGTGCAACAAGCAAACAATTCTCCTCGTTTTCAATTAAATGAATATACCGGATGAGTGCATGTGCTAATCGCTCGCCCACCATTTTAAAATACAGAATTACAGCAAAATTACAATACTTGCTAAACAATATTAATCACAATGCATGAGGTGACACATTAATATTACTGTAGCCTATATAGACACACTAAAGCCGGGCTCAGACTACAGGAGTTTCAGGCCGATTTATGCCCGATTTTCCCCTCCCGACATTCAGAGAAAAACAACAAGCAGCTGCACGGGTCTGGTGGTCAATAGAGGAGAGGAATGGCTGGTCGAAATGTGGGGGGGGGACTTAGAGAATACACATATGACCCAGAGGGATGCATATGGAGAACACTGGGGTGTCCAGCCGCAGGTGGAATATTTCAACCCCAGGGGTGGCAAGGTGGCTTGCCAAGGGAAAGACACATGCTCAGAGAGGCTTACAGTGGAAATACACATGTGGGGGTAGCTCAGAGGAGGTACCATGCACACGGAAGGCACCTAGCCGACGCGCAGGCAATAGACACTGGCGCCAACGTCAGGAGTGCTGGAGGAACTCAGGGCTTTCGGGAAGCTCACCTGAGGAGAATATCGCACGTATCCAGTCCGAGGAGTGGAATAGCGAGCAAGTGAAGACACCTGAGCGGGTCCGGTACTAGCTGGTTGAAGCGAGTACATGAGAGGACACTGGCTCCACTCGGAGATTGTAGAATCTGGCGAATGTGTTGGGTGTCGCCCAGCCTGCAGCTCTGCAGATGTCTGTTAGCGAGGCGCCATGCGCTAGAGCCCAAGAGGACGCCACACTCCGGGTGGAGTGGGCTGTCACACCAAGGGGGCACGGTCGACCTTGCTGCTGGTATGCCAAAGCAATGGCATCCACTATCCAGTGAGACAACCTTTGCTTGGAGAGAGCCTTTCCCTTCAGCTTCCCACCATAACAGACAAAGAGCTGGTCTGAGGTCCTGAAACACTGCGTTCTGTCTACATAGATGCGGAGAGCACGTACTGGACAGAGCAGTGCCAAGGCTGGGTCTGCCTCCTCCGGGGGCAGCGCTTGCAGGTTCACCACCTGGTCCCGGAAGGGAGTGGTAGGAACCTTGGGCACATATCCAGGCCGGGGTCTCAGGATCACGTGAGAGTAAGCCGGCCTGAATTCCAGGCACGCTTCGTCACCGGAGAATGCGTGCAGGTCCCCTACCCTCTTGATGGAGGCCAATGCAGTCAGAAGCGCTGTCTTCATAGACAGGAAGTTAAGTTCGACTGACTGCAAAGGCTCAAAGGGAGCACTCCGCAGGGCAGATAGAACCACTGCGAGGTCCCAAGAGGGTACGAGAGGAGGGCGAGGAGGATTCAGTCTCCTCGCTCCTCTCAGGAACCTGACGATTAGGTCGTGCTTCCCCACAGACTTGCCTTCAACTGGGTCATGGTGTGCGGCAATAGCGGCAACATAGACTTTGAGGGTGGAGGGAGACAGCCTTCGCTCCAACCCATCTTGAAGGAAGGAAAGCACGACACTGATCGAACATCTCCGGGGGTCTTCTCGGTAAGAAGAGCACCAGTTGACGAAGAGGTTCCACTTCAAC